GGCTATCGTCACATCGCACAGTATAATCATATGATAGACATTCGCAACTTTCAATACGCCTAATTTGCGAGTTGATCCTCCATTGTAGTACGCAAAATATCTCTTGTATGCTATTTTCTTCTGAGACAAGTCTTAGGAACCAAAAGAACATTGGCTTTTATGGCTTAGCAGTCAATGTGGGATTTAATTTTTCGTGTATTTCGTTGCTTATTAGAAAGTGTTCAGCGAACGGAATGGCTAATCGAACTTATCAAAAGGGGGGAGAGAGTTGGCATAATTCGAACTCCTCATTAAGTAAATTTAATAATTTTGGAGATTAGTTATTCTTAAATGTTCTCGTTGGTAGCGCGGCGTTCAACGTCCTTGTTTGTCAAAGCTGTACACCGCGCGATGGTTTCACCTGACCAATAATAAGGTGGGGGAGGGTGGGTAGGGTTGGAGTTCAACTTTGAAATGATTGCGATTAGCCGGTATAAATGTAGTTAATTAACCTTAATTTGCAATAAATGTTGAGTGTATGTTACCAATTTGTGCCTTACGAAGACTAGAATCCATTCCATCTAACTGCATACAAACTCTAATAGCACTATAGTCTTTATTATTATATTCTTTTCCATTACACGGGCGTCTTCCCCATCTTCGAGATACCTCTTTAACGATTCCCCATAATATGCGTTATATTCAGTCTGGATTTTGGTCAAGTGGTTGAATTTTCCAACCTGCATGGCTTACATTGGCGATAAAATTGCGCTTAGTATCGGGAGCTTGTTAACCTCGCAGATATGTTTTTTTATGGGTTCATCTGATGAGAGAGTTTTATGGCCACTCCACTGTGCACTGTCTTGCACTTTACTTGCCATGCAGCAAGTTATCATTTACACGACCTGCTAGAAATCCAAGTAGTAGTAGTACTCCGTTGATGCAATAAAGTGATCGGACTAATTAATTGGGCACCAATGTTAGGTCATAGGAGAGATCCTAGAGTGGTGGGGAATTATTCCTTACGTTAGCTTCATTAGAAGGTAATGACAAGTTTGATTCATAAATGCGCACGTTTGTGATTCAGTTGTCTCGTTTGTTGTGGAACATTCATTTGAATCCAGGAGAATATTGATAATTCTAACCGTCCTACCTCTGAGCCTGTTTACTGATAGTTTCCCTATTTATTAACGTATCAAGTAAAGGTCATAACCAATCGCAATGATTAAAGATAGTCAAACAATGAATACCAGAAGGTTCAGTAAGAATGTTCGAAAACAACAGTGGCTGATTGGTTAATATGCTGGTCTATGAAGTCAGAAGTTACGAATTCGATATAGACTGACGCACATTCAGAGAACGATGTGGTTATCTCACGTTAAATTTGGTTGCTAAAAGAGGGCTACAATTCGAACTTTTCATCTGGGAGGATTTAGGATACTGCCTCTCTCTTCAGTGTAAGTATTTGAACCACTTTGGTATTACTAGTTCCTATAATAGGCATGGGAGAGTGGTTAACGGAAGTCAGCTAAACTAATCCAATCCAATCAGGAGTAATTGCCTTAAGGCACTCTCTCAAATTGTAAGCTTGACTTCAGAGTCGTTCCAAGCTAATGTTCCTATTGAACAACTGATTTAAATGTTAACTTCAGTTGTGTATTTATCATTATCTCAATGCGCACATGTCTGCCAACTAGGTTGTCGGTATTTTAAACCCTAATTGGTCAAAATTTGGCTCCTTATGAACTACCTGTGAAATTCATTACAGTTGGCCTATTTGGACAAACTGTTTTATTTTGGTTTCTCTCTTTGAAGTATCGCCAAATATGCACTTACAATTGATCTTATTTGCATACTTTTTTAGGCATTTCATTCATGTTGTTGTCAACATTATTATTACCCGTGACAAGATAAAAAAGTGCTTTCAACTTTCATGATCTTCCTCCTACTTTCCTGGAAGAGGAAATGTCCTCGAGATTTGTGGATCTTCTCGTTCAGTGAATGTATTTATTTATTTGTTTATTTCAAATGGCAGGCGTTTTGATAGCTATCATAAGCCATTTAGCTGACTTCAGGCTTCACAGAGGGAAGGTTAATCAAAGTAGAAGAAAGTCGAGGGGTGGGGAACAGAAGAGCGATTCACAGATGTAAAAGAGGCAGACAGACACAAAGGTAGAGAAAAAGGTAAGGTTAGTACTGTGACGGGGTTGAATATGGCAACCAGGGTGGTCGTGGTAGTTTGAAGTCAGAAGTCAACTGCCGGTCAATAGACTTTTTTGCCGTATGAGTATACGTTGCCCAGAGTGCACCACATTTTGCCGTATGAGTATGCGTTGCCCAGGGTGCACCACGTTTGTTTGCCGTATGAGTATACGTTGCCCAGGGTGCACCACGTGATAGACTTACTTGCCGTATGAGTACACGTTGCCCAGGGTGCACCACGTGGTGCCTTATGAGTATACGTTGCCCAGGGTGCACCACGTGGAGCCGTATGAGTAAACGTTGCCCAGGGTGCACCACGTGGAGCCGTATGAGTATACGTTGCCCAGGGTGCACCACGTGCCGTTTGAGTATACGTTGTCCAGGGTGCACCACCTGGAGGTAAGTCTATCGTGAGTATACGTTGCCCAGGGTGCACCACGTGGAGGTGTATGAGTATACATTGCCCAGGGTGCACCACGTGGAGGTAGCCGAATGAGAATACGTTGCCCAGGGTGCACCACGTGGAGGTAAGGTGTAGTATACATTGCCCAGGGTGCGCCACGTGGAGGTAAGACCGTATGATTATACGTTGGCCAGGGTGCACCACGTGGAGGGGTATACGTTGCCCAGGCTGCACCACGTGGAGGTAAGTTTATAAGTCTATTGCACACCCCATGATACCTATCATAACGCCTGCCATTTGAAAGTACGTTGTCCAGGGTGCACCACGTGGAGGTAAGTCTATCGTATTCTTAAGAATAATTGTTTAGAAAACCAGCAAGGGTTGAAAGTTGCCCAGGGTGCACCACGTGGAGGTAAGTCTATCGCACGCTGTCCAGGGTGCACCACGTGGAGGTAAGTCTATCGCACACACCCCTCCGCTTCCAAATAAGATGTTGATAGTGAAGGCATATTTCCAGGGTGCACCACGTGGAGGTAAGTCTATCGCACACCCACTTGGCTCTCCCCTCAAATTTCAACCCTACACGGATGGGCCGTTCAGTGAATGTAATTCCTTCTTTTTACTTGAAGATTAGGCCATCAGAGATTGTTCTAATCTAACGTTATAGTTTATTGATTTATATCTGAGATAAAAGGTAAATTTTTTGATAGGCATCCGACTGGCTTTTATTGTCCAGTCGACGCGTATCTTCACTTCGGTATGAAAGTTTTATTTTTTTGCAAATTTGCGCTTGATTGTGTTTATACAGTTGCCACAGAAAGCTACGAAGCGATTAATGTGTCTTTTTTGGCAGATTTGCAGAGGTAAATCACAAGATTGTCAGGTAATTAAGCTTTTTTTATTCCCTTCTTTTTTTTCAGGCCTATTTGATCCGCACAATCCCCCGCAGAAAATTGAACCAAATAAACAGGTGAAAATACGACTAGAATCGATGGGCCTGTGGGCTGGACATTGGCAAATACAAAAGGATCTCTGTACAATATACAACATCACACTAACTTCTGAGCTCTCTTCTGTCGGTGTATTCCTTCGGTATGGAACTATGTCGACGATTGTGCACTACAGTCACTTTGATCGAATTCTCGGTCGTCAGTTGAAAGCTGACGCTGTTGTAAAAAGAGATTCCAATGAACTCCCCAAAGAGGCTTTTCCTTCTGTGTCTTCTGAAACTCATATCAAACCGGTAAACCTTTTGTTGTTACATCTGTTTATTCAGAAAATTAGCAATCATTATACTACTCGAACAAGCGGATGCGGTGGTATATCTGTAAACAAATAGATTGTGGATAGAACACACAGTTGGTATCTTCACAAAGATTTTTGAAGAGACTTCTATTGATTCGGACCATGACACTCTATCGCTTAATTTTTCAAACACTTCTATTTTCTTATACCTAAAGCAACCGTGAATTTGCTGCTGGATTTCCTTGTTGATCGTTAAGCATTTGTATTCTCTTGGTAGCTTCTTACTTCAATTTGTCTCGAATTTCCATTTGTGATTTTCGTGACGGGCATTACAATTGTGTTGGCTGTGTCAACCAAACACCCAAACATTGACGTCTAGCGCACAAATTGCCTTATTTATGACTTTCTACCACTCTCCGTTATCTGTTGGCATCAAGTACTTTTTCAGGGGCAAGGGAAATGGGGTGACTTTTCTTGGGGAAACAACAAAAGCAACAGTGAAATGTTCCAGCGTGGAAGCAAAAAAATCGTATTTAATAACCAATTATGAGATGCTTTATCAGAAAGTGGCAATTGCTGCATCCTTTTAGGATGTTTTATCTAATTTTAAGACTCGCGTTTTGTCAAGCCTGCACTTTTCATTTATCTTTACCGTCAGTAAAATTAGAATTAAACAGGCTTTTCCTTCTGTCAAAATGCCATCAATTTAGGACGCTCCGCGAACAACAGGTCGTGTGCGGTGTCTGAAGAAAGGTCACTGGTTCATCTCGATTGTCAATGACCAGCCAAGAATGGAGGATATTGTCTTCTCGATGGATGAAATCAGTAAGTGGTTATTTGCAAGATTCTACCGTATAACGGAAGGTGCTTGAAAGTTAGTTCTTTCTTAATTAAATCTTTCCCAATTGCTAATTATGGGGGAACATCTAAACGCCTGGAAAGTTTAGCAATAGAAGTTCGAGCACTTTTCAGTAATCATCATATTACCTGTTTTAGCTTAAAGGATTTAAATTCGAATTCTGGATTTCAGTAGAAGGCGAAAAGGAACAATATACCAACCCCCCCTTCCATCCCTTATTGTTTTGAATTCGAAAATCTGATACCCGTAAAGGCCTGCTTCCATTTAGGCATTCAACCAACCATCCTCTTCTGGAGTTTTTCATACCGCCGTTCTTTCGGTAATGCCAGTTAGCCCATTAGGGGTGGATTGGCCCTTAGAAATTTCTTTTTATTAGTTTAATACTGGTCGTCTGTCCTTATGGTAGTCATAACTTAGATGATTTAAGAAAGCGTTTTACCAACACTTCATCTTGGGCTGGAGCCTTTTCGATGAGAGAATCGATTTCTCCCACACCTTATGTTGCTTAATTTATTGTTCGTTTCGCTACAATAAGTATCGAATTCTTAGACTCTGAATCTACGCTGACATGAACATTTAAAGTCAATTTCAATGGGTATATATTTGCAGGGATCATTGCTTGGATCATATCTTACCT